TTTTACCAACGAATAGTGGGATTGACCGTAACATTATAACGCCCCCACGGCTGAAAGGGCGAGCATGTTTGGTGTGACAGGGATTCGAACCCGCGACCCTCAGATTGCGAGTCGAGTGCCTTAATCACCTGGCCATGCCGGGCCATATAGTGAGAGAGGGTCATAAAAGGGAAACATAGAGATTTTGAGTGCTCTCAGGCTTGAGTGAACAGATTTACTCGAAAATTTGCATTAATACGTAAGGAGTTGTTCACAACAAAAAACACAATCTAAATTCAGCTTTTTGAAATACTTGGGTCTAAGAGATTTCGGAGTCTTTCAGGACTCAGTTCGTAAATCATCATGAAATTGAAAGAGATCGTTAAAAATACGTATGTACATTTAGATTTTCTAAATTGGGGATTCTAAGTGGAGGGAATAAAGAAGATTTCGAGGGTTCTCGGGAACAGCTTCATGAAAATTGGCATGGATATGGAAACTGTCATTCTAAATAAGAATCTGCTTCTGGAATTTTTTTCAAGGTCGCTCCCAATATGAGGACTAAGAGAGTTTTTGGAGTTCTCATGATTTGGATGTTTAATTGAATGTTATACGACATTTTATTTCCCATGAATTAACACGAGTAATGTTCTCGTATTATGTAATTTTTTACAGTTACCCGCTTCAACTTAATTAGAATCAGACAATATTCATTCCTCGAAACGTACGTCTTTATTGCATGAGAATGATTATATTTAATCTTGTATAGATTTTTTAAAATTTGTTCAACGTGGATAATCGACATTTGAGATACACGTTAATGGATTATTAATTTGTTTTCCATGGAGTATTTAGATTTCGTATTAAATGCGTATATGCGTTTCTTCGTCATGTTCGTTCAAGTGGATTAGATACTTTTAAAGAACGAAATGTGAATTAACAATGTGCCAATTTTTCGATGAAAATGAATTAGAATGATTTCGAAAATGTTATTAGAGTTGTACAGATTTAGTGTCTATCTACAGTGAAGGAGATGAACGAGGAAACCAGAGAAGAAACGTCTGTCTGGCACATGCCTGTGACAGGTTCTCTACGACAGATCTGGTGGGTTCTTATGTGGCCAGCTTCGTTTTTGTTCTACATCACCGTTTTGGACTGTCGGAAACAAAATCTCAGGAAATATTATATGATAACTTTCTTAATGTCCGTTGTGTGGATTGGAATAATATCATATTTAATTGTCTGGATGATAACTATTATAGGTGAGTTTTAATAATTGTGTTTTAAATATATATAAACGTAACAGCGAATAAGAACATTAAGATTTCTTAGTCGAAAAGAAGAATATTAGTCCACTCTGTGGAATCAGTTGTGTTCAGAGTCGATGTGTTATAAATTATGGTTGCTAGGGAATTCTGTTACATTATGAATTTACTAGATCAAGTATGATATAATAATATCCTCTTACTCCTAGTGAATGGAGAATATGAAATGTAGTAGCGAATAATATATTGCTCGGAAAATAGAGAAGTTATATAATACAAACTGTACCTGGCTATATTACTAAAACGTTATAAGCTTATGGATATAATAATACACGAATGTCTAATGTAAAACGGTTTTTCTAAGCTATTAAACATGCAAAATTTAAAATGTTATCGCTAAAATACAGCTTATCAGAATTTTCTTACTTTGAATTATAGGGAAGGAACACATAAATTCAATTTCCCAATTTTTCTCTTTTTTGAAGGTTTTTATTAATATATCGAATTTGAATAACACATGTTAGCTTTCTTATCACTTTTCTTAAAAGATACCTTTTGCACAGTGTTCCAGTTATTACGGTTCAGGCTGACAGGAAACAGGAACCTTATAAATAAAATTAGGTTTTCTAACTCCTAAAAGGATGTTCGTATACGTAACCTTTAAGGGGTAAAACGTATCTTCCAAAAAAGTTTGTAAAATTTCAACGTTTACTCTTTAAGCTCGAATTATATAAACATGAGCTTATTGGAGTAGAAATAAAGTTGAAACATACCTTCAGGGAAAGCAGTCCTTTCTAAAATATCACATATTCTTGCAGCGCTGACCTTTTGGGTTTTGCTGACTTAATCAAAATATTCAAATATGCTATTAATTTTGAGTAGGTTAAGACTAACTAAATGACGTGGCACTAGAAATAGGGTGTAATATTTTACATCTTACAATATAGTGCATTATTGTTTGCAAAACAAATTACTTTACATTACCTTTTAACTATTAAGTTTCAATTAGAAATCAAACGTTTATTGTGTTGAGTGCAACGTTTACACAACAAAAACTGGAATGCTGAATGGGCTTTTAAGATTTTGTTTGTAGTTAAGCACAAAGCTACACCACGGACTATCTGTGCTGTGACCACCACAAGTATCGAAATCCGGTTTTAGCGTTGTAGATCCGCAGATATGCTACTGAGTCACTGGGGGGTGGCATTTAAGAAGCAAAATATCGAACAAACTACATCAAATTCGATGACGAGGAACCCACTTTGAGACTAATAATGGTTGGAGACGGCTTGAATGGGTAATGAAGAAAAACTTTAATATAAGTTTAACATAACAGCAAATGTACAACGTTTCGACAAGGTTTTGTCATCATCAGGTAAGATTTAACATTTGCTTCTTCATTACACATTCAATATAATTACACATAAGTTTCAATAATAGTTTTAGCTTTGAAAAATTGTGTTTCACTAGCAGCTGTGATTGGCAATGTTAGAATAATTATTAGAGCAATGCATACACATGAGACCAGAAATTGTTCAATTCTCTGTTAATTATTACATGGTGTTCTTCTCGGTTTGATGATAGAGGACAATGCTTTGAGTTCGTTTCGGAGCTCTAGTATTATCTTTGTTTGTTGTTAAGCACCATGCGATATTTGCATTCTTTCTGTCGAGGGTATGAATCCCTACTTTTAGTGTTATAAACCCATAAATTAGTCCCATCATAGTTTTGATTGAACTACCTTACATGTTATTACTTCTTTTTCTAGCAAGATGATGAAAGTAGGTGGGTGATCGGGACTAGATGTTAAGTTATTTCCTTAAATAAAAACCTGTATTATGCTCTACTAATATAGATTTATAGTATATATATTTATAAAACAAAATATATAATCACTGGATCTCCCACAGTTTATAATATATAGCTTAGGTTGTAACGAAAAGTCATTCAACATGTGTGTTGTGACACGTAATTGCAAACATTGTTACACCCAAAAGACTTGGAAAGACCGACTAAATTACCAAGTACATACACATAGGCGGATACTAGATTAGTCAGTAAAGATCCAATTCGGATAAATGTGACTATTACTTCATTTCCCTGAAATTTTTCCTGTTATTGCTAGATTTTTTAGCTTATTTTTTCTCATTACGTGACCCAGGAAATGGAGTTTTCTTCTAATTGTTATCATAGTGGGTTTTCAATCCATAAAGTTCTTACAGGAGTGGCACACGTAACACAGTTATTCTTCAGTGAACTCAAGATGGGATCACTTTTTACAGTTCATACACTCCAATATTTACTTCTAGATAAGTGACAAAAAAAAAAACGAAACAAACGCAATAATAAATTAGTCATTCAAAGTAATCTTATGGCACCTAATATATTTTAAGATAAAATTAAATTACTTTCATGTATTATGGAAAGTGTAGCAAGAACAAAACAAAACGATATGCATCAGTTCTTAAATAGTCCAACTTTATCTCTTATATTCTTATATTTCTGTAGACCTAAACTTGCGAATGTCAGCAACTTTTTAAGCTCTTTAATCCATACTAACTTATTTGAAAAGACCTAAACATGGGTGTATCAAAAGTTTTCAAGTTCTTTTTTATGCTTACTTTTCTCAGTAGGCCTAAACTCGCGAGTGTCAGAATTTTTGCCACGCTCTTTTCTATACTTACTTTTTTGAATAGTCCTAAGTTCGAGAGTCAGAACTTTGTTTCAAGTTCGTTTGATATGTTTTGCCTCATTATGCTCACATAGGGTTCTTGACATTTAACTTCATATTTCAACTTCTATTGCTAAGATATTTTGATGTGTTATGAATTACTAGGTGAGGATGTTTTTTTTCTGTTAAAAGCTGTTTCGGACAATATAGACTCAGCGTTATGGTATATGATTAGGAAATTCCGCGTTCTTTTTATACCATTTTCTGTAGTATATTCCTTTTTTTCAGAAATAATACTATAAAAAATCAAAATATTCAAATAGAACTATAATATACATAACCTTTTGTTATAGTTAATGTAGTGAAACATGATACAGGAACATTTTATTTTACTTGCATATGCTTTTTGTTTGTTTGTAATTAAGCACAAAGCTACACAATGGGCTATCTGTGCTCTGCCCACCACGGGTATCGAAACCCGGATTCTAGCGTTGTAAGTCCGCAGACATACCGCTGTGCCACTGGGGGGCTACTTGCATATGCAAAAATATTTTCTGTACACAACAGCTACCTCTCTGGACAGAATGTAAACGTCCGTCATGTTGTTTTTGTTGACCCACAATAACCTGAAATTGATGTCAAAAATATACAGTTTTCTATGTGTTTTAAGAATATCATATTGAACTCTAACTCGGATCCGAATTTTGATCACTGATCTCGACATTCTTTCTTTGCCGACTCCAATAATTAAAGTGTGAAGAAAAAGTTTGAAGGTTACTATATTTCAAAAGCGTGTCTTTCCTTTTCTCCTACGTGTTTGAATAATTCTGAAAAGTTTGGAGTTTGAGGATTGAAATCATGTGCGTGGTTTCAAAGACACAAAACTACAGAACCTAATGGCTTATGTGATCTTAATTCATTTAAGTTTTTAGTATAACTGAAAAAAAAGTGTGGAAGCAGTATCAAAATTATTTCATTATCTTCTGTAGCAGGAAAACTGTTATAGAATTGGTTTTTTCTATTCTGAATAACTACTGAATACGAGAAGTACCAGTTCTTAATTTAAATTCCAATATATAATGATTAAGCATATGTTTATCGCTAGTAGCAAATATCAAAGTATAGAAATTTTGGTTTAAACTAGCCACTAAAGTTAAGCATCATTTATAATATAAAGACGTCCTATGGTGTAGGTAAACTCTGCAATAAACAAAATAAATAAAGACACACTAACTTCTGAGCTTCTTGTCATTCCTTTTCGTTTCATTCTTTGGATAAGTTTGAACTTTATTTTTTTATGTTTTGTTGCTTCTCTGATATGCTTATTCATAAATATATTGAGCCCCACTCTGAACTTCTTACTGTAAATACTCATTTTTTGTATAATTGATTCTTGAAACCGTCGGTACTTGGTGAAACTCCATTATTACAATGTTGAGGAAAAAATAAAAACAACTGTACGTTTTATGGTCGTTAATAAACGAAATATTTATGAAACGTTCAATTGTCTTTGTGTTTTTTTTTCCTCAAACCTATTTTTGTTTTGCCCGTTTTGAAAGATAGTGGGGTTTTTTCTACAGACAAGTTGGCGAACAGTTTTATTAAACCAAACAAATTAAACGAACAATTGTCATTACTTAACCAATTTAACTGAAAAAAAGTGAAAGATATAGTTTTTAAAAAATTACATTATTTATTATACTGCATTTCTTCTTTCTTAGGTTATACGCTAGGTATTCCAGATACGGTATCAGGTCTCACGCTACTAGCAGCAGGAACCAGTGTACCCGAAATAATATCCAGTATCATTGTTGTAAGAAACGGTAAGTAGTTGTTGGAAAAATAAAACTCTAATTATTTAACACCATTTTTGTTGTATAGTAAAAATTCGTACACGATTGTTCAAAAACAACCGTTTTTCTATTCTATTATCCAACACTAGACTGAAACAGGATCCTCACAGTATTACCGAATGAAGTTAAATAGCGAGTTTTACACAGCTATAAATATATATACTTATATATATAATATATGTACACTATTACTATTATTTGTTTCTAGATGCAGCTTTACCAATTAATTTTTTCACAGATTATCTCTGGTAGAGATTCTTTTGTTTTTCATCTTACATATCTCTTATATGCCAGTTATTTGGTATTCACAAGAGAGTAAACCACCGATGGAATTGATGTTATAACTTTGTCTTTTCTTCTAGCAAGGAAGTATCTTGTAGTTCGTGCTTCTGACAAAAATTGACCGATGGAATTGATGTTATAACTATGTCTTTTCTTCTAGCAAGGAAGTATCTTGTAGTTCGTGCTTCTGACAAAAATTGACCGATGGAATTGATGTTATAACTATGTCTTTTCTTCTGTCAAGGAAGTATCTTGTAGTTCGTGCTTCTGACAAAAATTGACCGATGGAATTGATGTTATAACTATGTCTTTTCTTCTATCAAGGAAGTATCTTGTAGTTCGTGCTTCTGACAAAAATTAACCGATGGAATTGATGTTATAACTATGTCTTTTCTTCTAGCAAGGAAGTATCTTGTAGTTCGTGCTTCTGACTCTACTTGTTATCATATCATGAATACCGCATAAAAGAGAGAGTATGTCACATTAAAAATCTTTGGCGTTGCACTACACTTTATGTTTTTCAGTATAAAATTTATTGCCAAACACAATTAAAGTACAATCAGAATTTGTAACATTATAGCTATGATAAGGCTAAACCATGTTATACACTTTTGATAATCACCTCTATAGCACATCATGAAAATCAGACATCTGATGATCATTTATTTGATCTAAAATATAAATAATAGGTTTCATCCAGCCTATACTCTATAAAGGAACTCATACAATATTGTATCAGTTGTCATTTTCAAATTAATGACAGAGTTCAAAGTTGTTCATAAAGTTTATCTAGACCTGAGACATTTGGATGTTTCACTCATGTGAAAAGTCATCAGAAGTAAATTAATCACAGCAGACGTTTACACATTGGCTCAAAGTGTTGTTAGTAGCACGTGGAGATACTTAAAAAATAATAATTATAAACTAATGGCGTGGTTGTATGAGCTTCTGGACAAACCAGGTCATCATCTATCACACAAGCAGACAGCCGCTATCTGCCGATTCTAGTTCGTCGAAATCGTAGGGTATAGGCTGCGAAATGTGATCAGATATTCGTACCTGCAGTTAAACACTGATGGTTAAGAACAAACTTCACAATACCTTTGTGCTAGATGTCCTGTGAGATTAATTTCGCTCTTAGTAAGGCACCAAACAACTCTCCTGAAAAATTATCACGGACACGTTCACTGAACCTACAACATGTAGAGCAGTATTTATTTTTTTATAGATGAGTAGCCCTTGCCATGAAACCAGATAATAGGCTAAATTGTCATTAAAAGCAGTCTAAAACCAGACCTACTTCATTTTCATATAGAACAAATGATGCATATGACGGTGGTGGAAGTGTGCTGTAAGCACTGGTAAATGTACCGACTCCACATTCTGTGTCACAATATGCTGGTACAAGTTGGGTCTGACTTTAGCATAATAGGTAATAACACCCATTCCACCATGCTAAATTAGTCAGTACATTCCTTGAAGAAAAAAAGACAGACCAAATGGAGTGATCTTGACATTCATCGGACTTCACTTTCATCGAGATGCATTACATTTCGTCAAACGATTTCAGACATTAAAGATTTCCAAAACTGATATCCGTACGTGATGACCATAATCCGCCATAATTTGTAATGATGTAAAAACACATCTATCGATGATGATTAGGATGATTAGACTCAATGACCAATTATTGGCATTTCAGACTACATGACTAATCAGATACCTGATTTGGAAGGGGATTGATATTATTTTGTAACACCGTTATATTTCTCTTGTCGAAGTTGTAATATTATATAATCTGATCAACTTTTAATTATTTTGAAATGTGTACTGTAATTATAATTTCACATTTATGTTCCAAAGATTTGTTGATATTATTATTAATTACTTTAGAACATTGTTGAAAATATTATTCAACACACAAATACACTTCTGGCTAAATCAATTATTATGTAATTTATTGGACTGATAAATGTTTCTTATATTACATTGTACAAAAACTATAATTATTCAAGTCATGATTTTCATATTATAAACAATTATATCAATAGATAGATTAAGTTTATTGTGACTTAATGAATCAATAGGTTCACCGTTTGTCTTACATTGCCGCAAAACGCGCTTCGCACTTTGTGACTGTGGATGCACTATAAGAACGACAGTCTAATCCCACTCTTCGTTCTGATAAGAGTTAGCAGTAGATGCTGATGACTAGTTGTTTTCGTTATTAAGGACATCCTAGGTGGTGGTAGCCATTGTTTAGCTGTTTCGCGCAAAATTCTAAAACAGCTAGAAAGATTACTGAAAAACATGAAAGGCTTTCGTAAGTTCTTCCAGGTGATTAAAATAACTGTTGTTAACACCGTAGAAAGTCAACTTGGAAATAGGAAAACAGTACGTTGGAGTAAAAATCACAATCACATAAAGTAATTCCTCAAAAAATGACGAACTTACAATTTTAAGAACTGTCGATAAGACGAATTTTATTTGATTGATAACAGCTTTAAATTAACAGTTACTAGCCTCTCAAAAATCCTTAGTTGTCGTTCATTATTGTCTTCATTATTTGCGATGAAATTATTAGCTTCAAAAGCGACTTGACATTTTATTACGATTGCTGAGCATTATGAGACAACTTTTCAGGTTCCCGAGATATTGACGTAAGTTGGATATTTTGGCTCTCTTACATCACGCTAAACTGTTCTATCACCAATCATCTAACAATAAAAAATATATTCTTACACTAAGTTTATAAAAGTAGCTTTCCAGTCAATGGGTGAGAGATATTAACTCAGCATAAAGACAAATCTAGCATGCAAGTCTGGAAAGTGAGAAACTTTTTACTGGATTTATTGAAATCTAATTTTTTGTGCCAATAGATAACCACCTAAATGTGAATTCTTCCTATTATAGCCCTTATTCAACGAGGCTTGCACTGTGCCTAAAATGATAACTCTCTGTTGAACTTCTGTTTTCTTTGAGACTTAAAGACTTTCTTTACAAGTTCAGGATACTTACTAAAATAACTACACACCGTCGAGAATGTTATTGGCTCCATGCCAGCAGTGGCCTTATGCTTGGACCCGGAAACGTAGTAATCACGGGATGATTGACGCAGGCACTTAACAAACCCATACAGAAGATAGAGTACGTTATATTAAAACAATATTAAATATTCAAATCAGGAAGTGACGTGAGAACCATATCCGATATAAATTCGCGGTGGAATGGAAAGTATCAGAACTACATACTGACATTACTTGACGTTTTGTAGGTAGTGTGATGTCACAGAAAATACATTGCTTTTGAGAAGGTATTTAACAACCCTTTTCCAAGCAAAATATTCATATGCTCAGATCATAAAGGTGTGTCCAGATCAGAGATCTAGATTTCCTAAGACAGGAATAACCACTGTACTAATCGGTATTGGAAAACAATGAAATATGGACCAACTTAGTGAATCAAAACCATCCATAAAGAGACCTGAAACAAGTTGAACCGTGGTAAACAGAATGTGGCGTCTTGTAATAAGTGAGAATTTCGAACACAAAGGTCAGCGGCAATAACTGTTCACGTGTTCTAGACAAACAGTAGGCAACATAATCCAGAAGTATTTCTGTCTGCAAAAGTGACATATGTCATGTGTACACAAGTTGCCTCCACAACACAGCCGTTAAACTGTCGCATATTTCAAGCAGTTGCAGAATGAAACGGGTATTCATCTATTCAATACGACAATATTATTGTAAAGTCACCGGACGCATTGAAGTTCTATGCAGTTCGGCTGTTGAAACAGTCGATGAGAAATTAGTGTCCTCTCATACTAGATGAATTATAGAAAGCATGCAATGAGGAGTTGTGTGCTCTGAACATGACAGGCTTACGAGGGAGCCTTTTGAAATAGAAACTACGCTATAGACATTTCAAGATTATACAGGCGTCAGAGACAGCATGACCAGATGTAGCAACATGTACTGCAAAGTTGTTGCGGGTCCAAAATCGGTTTATTATAACGTATTCTACCTTCTATATAAGCTACTAGTATTAAATATTTTTATTTTTCAACTGATAAATCATTTTGATGTTTTATGTTATATCTGAATAGTAAACATGCAAATATAAAATGTACGTTTGAGTATGATTATAAATCTCGACTTCATTCTTATTTTATAACAAACATTACAGTTTTAAGTTAGTGTATGTATAAAGGTTTTCTTGGTTACTAATTCTGACAGTTTTGTTTCAGTACAATTCAACTTAATAGTCCTTGCAGGATTGTGTGCATTTACATTACGGTGCAATAGAAAATAGATGCAACTAAAAAAGTGCTCAAACCTTGATGCATTTAACAATACTTATATTCTACAATCATCCTCAAAGTGTTAAAGTCTGCTTTTAAAATCTGATAATTTGATGATCAGAAACAATATATGCAAGAGTATTATGATATGTAGAGCAATATCTTAAGAAAAAGTTTAGTTTTACTTTAAGCAGAGTAGAACTACAATTTCAAAACAGATTTAAAACGTTTTTTAGGGTGAGATCTTCATTTTGTTTTAAACACGTGGTTTCTAAGAACAAACATCTATTTGCCGTACATAAATCCACATCTCTTTACTTCGCGAAGAAACGTTTAGGATCCACCAGCACTTGTGTGTATGTTTCAGAATTTCGCAGACGGGTACAAAGAGTATCTGCTACCCAACTGTCCCTAACTTTCAGCTGATAGACTAGAGAGGAGGCAGCTAGTCAACAGCACCAACCGCCAACTTTTAGTTTACTCTTGTCTGATCGAATAATGGGATTTTACCATACTTCTTATGGTGCACCTACAGCTAATGTGTAGAATTTCTACAGCAATTTGTGTTGCTAACAATAAACCTTTGAATTCACAGTCCCTACACGCTAACACCTAAGCCATGTGCTCGGTCTCCAGGTGTGTACTTACTCGTATAAAAAACAACAACACATCAATACAACATGGAACATTGTCTAACATTGCTCAACCCGTCCTGTCAAACTGGCGATTTTTATCATATATATATTTACGATGAAGACCAAGTAATACTGTGTGAGGTTCTTAATAATCTGAACAGCATTACACTAGCAACTTATAAGCTCATTCCTGTTTTCTACTTTGGTGGTTTTTTTGTCTGTAGAATTCTAATATTAAGTTTAACTAAGAAAAAGTAGACATTTTTGTTTATGTTACCCATTTTAACTTTTACAGGAATCATTTGAAACCTGGTTCATATAATATGATAAATAATATTGAAAATGAAATTTATACGATCTCGTATTAAGAGGGAATTTTTCGTTTATTTTAGGTCTGGGAAATATGGCCATGTGTAACCTGATCGGAAGTAACATTTTTAACGTTTTGTTTTGTCTTGGTGCTCCGTGGTTAATAAGGACTTTAATTCCACCAAACAAAGGGTTTTTGATTATCAACAGTTCAGGGTTAATGTATACCACTGTCACTTTGCTAGCAACTATTGTTGCCTTGTTTATATTTTTGTATATTTTTAAGTGGAACCTTAATTATAGGATCGGCTTCTCGTGTATGGTGATTTATGGGGGTTTTCTGGTACTAGCGTGTATGTACGAACTAAACTTCTTCGGGGAGTTTAACCCTCCTCAGTGTTTATTGGAAAACTAAACCAGCAAGATTTGAATATATATATATATATATACATACTCTGGCTTAGTTTATGGCAGAACATTGAAACTGCATAAAATTAATTTCTCTTCTAATTCTCAGTTGGAAGAGTTTTTGTTTGGTTTTTGCATAACTGTATTTCATTCATTGTTAAAAAGTATTATTATTATTTACCTGAAATGAAATCAGTTTAATATTGAATAAATTTTCCTGTTAGAAAGAGGTTAGACTTTGCATGTAAATTAATCTTTCTGTTAAAGGAATCAATAACAGGAAAGAAAGCTGTTTTCGAAAAGTATTAATCGTTGGTTTATAATTAAGCCTTGATTGTTACAAAATGTTATAAACTTGCGCACTTTTGCGATATATTCTACAAAAAAGTTATTCAGGTTATAAAGGTAATGACTCATTTTTATCAAGGTTTCTAAAACATACTTGTATAACTACGGACTTATTGTACGAAGTTTTCTGAAGATAAAATTTGTAGGTATTTCGAGTTGGGCCACTATAGTTTCGTACTCTAAAAAATTACACTAATTACCTGTTTCGAATTAGAAATGTTTAGCTATTTCTAGGTAAATATAACGAACCACATATGAGTTCTACACGACTAATTGTGCTTGAAGTGACTGACCATTACTAGCTAATCAGTGCTTTGATGGCGGCTAAAAGTAGATCTAAAACCTTTTGTTTTTTATTGACACAATAGTATCTAAATTTGTTAATTTAGCCTAAAATATGGAAAAGAAGCACTTTTCTGAAGGGCTTCTTTTTATACATGCAATATGATTTATGTAAGTGCAATTAACTTAAAGATAATATGTAAAACGTTTTGTAAAACATTTCCTTTGATTTGTGTAATAATATGTTCCAAATGAATGTATTTAAATATCTTAGTAAAAATATAAAATTTACGTTTCTAAAGGGACATTTTTTATAGAAAAAAATCATTCTGAAGGAATTAACATTATATGAGTAACACGATATAAGTGTATGGGTTTAACCTATATAAAAATAACATTCTTTATTAGATTGAGGTAACTTAAAAAGTACAATCGTTTTTATATAGACCAACCTTCTCAGTGTACATTTGGATTCCGATGTGTCATTCTGAAAGCTTTAAATAGAAGATCAATAGTATAGTTATAAGTATGTATAATTTCAATATATGTATGTGTGTATAATTTCCGCTGTTTATTAGTATTTTCTCAATGAACCAAAATTAAGTTAAATTTCTAAACCTAACTTAATAAATTTAAATGTGATTTTCAAATTACTTAGTCCTTTTTGTTCATCTTAATCGTATATTTTATGTACAATGTACATAATAAGTAAAGAGTTAAGTTTGTGTTAATTTTTGTTTCTGTATTTGGTTCCACCACAACCCCGTATTAACACAGATTTATTTGAAAGTGACAATAAGAGCTTTCAAGAGTTATTTCAGATACTCATAAATATCTATCCATATACATGTAAATACCAGTATCTTACTATACAGTTTTAACACCTTTTTTTAGTACATTATATATTATTATTTCGTAACAATTTACTGTTTCACATTTTACCCTGATCAATTGCTATTATTTTCAGTAATGTATAAAAACCATGAAATACGAAGAAAATACTCTTATTTCTCAAATTAATTTCTTCAAGATCTCTAATTTTATTGTCCTTAGAAATATTCAGGACATTCTAATTAATCCTTCAACATCAACATTGTTCTCGTACTCTTTTGTCATCCGGTGGTTGGCGGTAAGTGTATGGATTTACAACTTATAATCTTGATGGATGGGCAGAGATAACTCATTGTATAGCTATGCAATAAAACAACAACAGCAAAGCACTCTTTTTAAAACAAGAAAGGTTACTAAACTGGAAATAACAGGTAATTTTAACAAACCACTGCATAATTAAAAGGCGTTTGAATATCCGTATTAATATATATAACACCATTTTTACGTCTGTACCATTAAGCGTTCTTCAGATGATTTAAGTTGTAATATTTCATTCGTGAAAAAATGTTTTAAGTCGATTTCATATCTGCACATTAACTCCATGAAATGTTTGCATATTTTCACCTTTCAAACCCTATATCATTACTATTTATTTATAAATAATAAATGAATATTTGTATATCAATATATTTAGTGTGTTATTCACATTGTAATTATTCTCTTTCGAGGTATTTGATTTTGATTTCTTAATGGTAAAACTGCATTTACACAATATTATCTGGTAAACCACGTAATTATATATAATTAGGTCGTCAAGAAATTAATGTCGCTTTTTTTTAGATAAAAAAACCGAACAACTTATATATCAAAACGAAACATTTATTAAATGGAATAGTCTCCATTCTTATCGATGCAGCAAAAAAAAAACAAAAAAAAACATGTCGATGTCCCCTTTAACACTTTTTTACATTTCCATACGTTTTCCCATTAAGATGGTGTTACAGCTAACGAAAAAGATGGTAATTTAATGGTACCATATCTAGCGAATATGGTGGGTGGGGAGAACTTCCCAACCCAACTCCATAATCATGTATTGCGTCAAACACGCCACATGTGGAGAAGAACACCTTTCCGATTGACAGTGAAGGGCGTTTCACATGAAGGGCTTGATTTAAACATTCAAGTTCCTGACTATAGATCTCTGGAGTAACAGTTCACTGTGGATTGAGGAATTCGAAATGAATTACTCCTTTGATGTCCCACCAAATGCAAAACATCACTTTCTGCGGATGAAGTCCAGGTTTTGGGGTCAGGAATGTTTTTTGTCTAGGACTGAACCATTGTTTTTGGCATTTAATATTCGCATAGTGAATCCATTTTTCATCACCGGTGACAGTTCTGTCCAAAAATAGTTCACGCGCATTACGCGCAGGAAAAGGGGAAGTAACGTTCACACGTTGGAAACGATGAACATCGGAGAGTTCGTGAGGCACCCAAACACCTTCTTTATGGAGTTTTCCCATAGTCATTAGATATTTACGTATTGTTTCATGAGAGACGTGCAATTTCAGGGCCATTTCACGAGTGTGTTACCTTAGGTTAAACTCAACAAGCGTCTTCAGAACATCAATATCAATTCCAACATGTTGGTCCCTGACATCACAGTTTTTAAGGCTAAAGTCACTTGAACGAAATTTTCTGAACCATCGTTGACACTTACGAACGTTCAAAACATTTCCACAAACTTCTTTGATATTCTTTGTGGCTACAGAGGCGTTGTTTCCCTTCTTGTATTCAAACAGCATTACATGCTGAATGTGTGTCTCGTCGTGTGCCATCACAAAAAGGAATTAGAGTATACTAAACTTTGCACTTTATATAGCCTACACTAACGTGACGTTTAGGTGGTTCGTTTAACTACTATACGAGATGTACGTTCTTTTGGGAAGTGGGGTGGTTAATGAAAGGTTCCAAAACGCGAAATTAATTTCTTGACGACATAATATATGTATTTATACATTTCTCTTTTCATTTGTAATTATTTAACATTTTTCTTGTTGCGTATATCTTCAAAAAATAACTAACATTTATCAACAACGAAAAAACGTTTTGCTCCTCTTCAATCTAGGTAAACAAATTCGCACTTCCAAATGTCTACTTAGATCAACAAGATTGATTTAGATAAATATTAAGTCAAATCTCACTTAGAAATAACTCTCTAATGTCGAAGAAAGCGTGGATAGCCCTTGCGTAGCCTTGCGTGAAATTCAAAATAAACGAAATTAAACCTTTAAATTGAAAAAAAAGAAAGGATATGAACAAAGATTAGATTAAAATGTCACAAAATTCATTATTCAATAACTTCGAAAGTGAATCTAATTTTACTCCACTAGTTTCAGATTAATTTAAAATTTGATGAAAGCGCTCTTGTTTACATAGTATTCTACTATAAATTTTATACTGTTATGGTTCATGCATTTACTGCATTTGCTTTAGAATGTGTAGCATTTATTTCTTAAGTTAGCGAATTTGGATAACGTTGCTCCCTGCAAGCTTAAATTTTGGAGATCAAATGTGGTATTTTTAAATTCCACTTAGGGATAGTAATCTTTTATCTTGATTTTATATTTTTATAGTTGGACTACATAGATCAACTAATATTTTTTGATGAAAGTATTTTCTGTTTGGATATCATGAACATTTAAAACCCTTTCTAAAATGCATTAGAAATCCAAACATTTTTATTTAATTTGTACACATTCCGACAATTATCTTGAATAGAAATATATAAAGTATAAGTGAACATCGTTCCACGAAACTTTAAACGCTCAGTAAGAGTGTGTTTCTCACACTAATTGACATCTTTATTAAAACTCACACCCATACATTTGTTGAAATATACATTTTCAGTATACAGTACTGTGCAAAAGTGTTAGGACAAGAGAATATTATGCCATTCTTTTCATTTTATTGGGCTAATCCTTCCATACCAGTACATAATGTAAATTTCAACACTATGGCAATGCTTCACTGATCCCTGTTGACAACTGAATGAGCCAGGATGAAAATACTTATCATTCTTTAGAATTCCCATACACTTGTACCAAGGGCATGGCATAAGGCTTCTGCTTGAATGAACATACTAATCAAATTTAGGTCTGAAATAACTGTCTTAACTGTATAGAAAGAAGCTAACATATGGTACCGATATATGCTTGAAAAAATCAATTTAATAGCACTCCACAAATAAACGTTGATAAAAACAGTGTTTAACAATAAATAATAAATTTTGTAGAGAATTGTCAGCAGAGCAAAGAATTCGCATAAAAGGTTTACGTGATGCTGGTTGGACTCTCCGACAAATTGCTGCAGACTTGACATGTTCCCCAAACACTGTCAAGTACACCCTAGATCGTGAGATTGAAACAAATAAATTTGAAAATAGGCAAGAAAGAGGCAGAACACTTAAACTCAATGATACTGATTTTAAGTATCTTGTTTATGCAGCCTTCGAGACAGAAGGAAGACTGCCATGGATCTTAAGCATGAAATAAACGGCCATGTACCAAATGACAGAAAAGTGTCCAGATCTACAGTATCAAGAAGACTCAACGAGAATAGAATAATTGGTCGTTTAGCAGCTAAAAAAGCCTTTACTTCGATCTCCAAATATTGTCAAGAGACTGAAATTTGCTTAAACGTACACAAATTGGACTGTTGATGATTGGAAAAGGGTATTGTGGACGGATGAGTCCAAGTTTGAAATATTTGATTCAAAGCGTAGGATGTACATCCGGCGGAAGAAAAGGGAAATATACATACCTTAATGCATGGCACCTACCATGAAGCATGGAGGAGGCAGTGTGATGGTTTGGGGGTGATTTTCTGCTGAGACGACAGGAAATATTTGCAAAATAAATGGAATAATGGACCAGTGCAAGTACCATCAGATACTGATCCGTCATGTTGTACCCGTGGTTTGTGTATTATTGGTAAAGGATTTTAATACCGAGAAGATAATGATTCCAAACACTCATCCAACTTATACAGAAATTACTTAACTAAGAAAGAAGCTGATGTAGTCATTCAAATGATGCAATGGCCCCTACAAAGCGCCGATCTCAACCCAATTGAGCCGATTTGGGATTTGATAGATCAAAAACTTGACAAATCAAAAGTCACTTCCCAAGAAACTTTATGGAAGTGTATTAAAGACATTTGGAGTAAAATCCCAAAGGACACTTTGATTAAGTATGATACAACAACGCCTGAAAGACTGTCTGCAGCTATTAAAGCAAAAGAGACACACACAAAATAGTAACTGTTTGCTGAACTCAAGCCCTTCCACTGAGTTTTTGTTGTACTAAATATGAAGATTAATAAAAGTTTGATGTCTCACTTGTGATTTATTTCCATTGTTCTTTGAAAGTAGCCTGAAATCTAATTTTTGACTTTGTCCTGGCACTTTTGCACAGTACTGTATAACAAAAACAAAGTGATCATGGCATGTTTCACGTGAACGCTATAGCTCTCTCTCTCTTTATATATATATAAACATATTGCCATAATTATATACTAATATCCTGGTTAGTCTGCAAAACAGTGGGTCAGAGTAAGAATACTCTCCGACTTTCAAAGGGACATAGTATTGGGTTTCTATTTAGCAGGCTCATCATTATTAAATATTTTTTTTCTTGGTTATGGCTATTCAAAACTATTTGCTACTGTAGATATTTGACCATTAATAACAGGGAAACCTAAGATACAATATTACAGTTGAGCAAGTTTTTAGCGAGTAAGAAACATCAGGATTTGCAAATTTAGTTAATATAAAAGCATTCGAAAGAAAAGTGAAAAATGTGACATTAATGGAAAACGAAGGGATGG